GGGGGTTCTCTATCTTGCTTCTTCTTCTTCTTCTTCTTTTCTTCTTCTTCTTCTTCTTCTTCTTCTTCTTCTTCTTCTTCTTCTTCTTCTTCTTCTTCTTCTTCTTCTTCTTCTTCTTCTTCTTCTTCTTCTTCTTCTTCTTCTTTCTTCTTCTTCTTCTTCTTCTTCTTCTTCTTCTTCTTCTTCTTCTTCTTCTTCTTCTTCTTCTTCTTCTTCTTCTTATTATTATTATTATTATTATTATTATTATTATTATTATTATTATTATTATTGTTGTTTCTTTCCATTCGTGTATTGCCTTTCAACCTCAGGTTTTGAAGAGGCATCGAGTCTTGGTATGTGCTATGTAGGTGCGAGTATTTATAGCCTCGGATATTGCATCTGTCCATTGATTGCGTGGTCGACCTCTGATCCTGCTTCTAAAATATCTACCTTGCTGTCATTTTTAATTAAACGTGATGGGGCCCTGATCATTTCCACAGTGTGATTCTCGTACTGCCCCATCCCCCTCCAGCTCCCCCTCCCCCTCCCTAATGTCATGACTCTATGTTTTTACCACTTTTGCTGTGTATGCAGCGGGAATCTTTTAGCCTGATGATTTCGGACTGCATGACCAGTGTTGTCGACACGGACTGTGCAGGCAAGCATTTTTTTTTTTTTTTTTGCCTCTAACAGAAAACAATTCCAATCCTTGAGGATTCGAACTTGTATCTCCTGTCTTAGAGCTACGCATGCTGAACTGTTCAGCACGACGCTGCTCGTACACTTCATCTGAAAGTCCATGCCCTGCGGCGTTGGTAGTCATGTCTATCCACAACCTTCTGTCCCGTGCACTTTCAATCAACTCTGACACAGATGATCCTCTTTACCATGATGTCAGACTGTTCAGTATCTTTACTCTTGGTCTCCCCCTGCCTCTCCTTCCTCCAACTTGTTTACTGTCACGATCTACCCCAGTTTTCTCCTTCTCATGACAAGACCAACGAATGTAGATTGCCTCCTTCTGATGTGGGCAACCAGTTCTCTTCGTGAGTCCGTTTCTTTTGAGATATCTCCACTGACCTGGTATTTGTTTGTCTTGTTTATTAACTGTCTAGGATTCACAACCATACTTGTAAAGGTATGATGTATTAGGGACAACTCCGGCAGTGTTTTTACTTAGTACTAGGGACAAATATGGCAGTGTTTTTACTTAGTACTGGGGACAAATATGGCAGTGTTTTTACTCAGTACTAGGGACAAATATGGCAGTGTTTTTACTTAGTACTAGGGACAAATATGGCAGTGTTTTTACTTAGTACTAGGGACAAATATGGCAGTGTTTTTACTTAGTACTAGGGACAAATATGGCAGTGTTTTTACTTAGTACTAGGGACAAATATGGCAGTGTTTTTACTTAGTACTAGGGACAAATTTAGCAGTGTTTTTACTTAGTACTAGACACAAATATGGCAGTGTTTTTACTTAGTACTAGGGACAAATATGGCAGTGTTTTTACTTAGTACTAGGGACAAATATGGCAGTGTTTTTACTGAGACTCCAATATTTTAACATCTTTCAGACAAACTGAGCTGACTAGCAGAAACCAGACAACCTACCTGCGGGCGGCGGCGAGGAGGACGCTGCAGTAAACGTGGAGGGAGATAAGACAATGGTGGTGAGTACTGGCAGCTAGCCCATATGTTTGTGAGCTTGTTTTTGTGAGTTCATGCATATTAATTCTAAGTCATTATCAGCATCGCCACCATTGTTGTCGTCATCATCCGAGTCACCGTTAGCTTCCACTTCTAGGGTTAACCATCGTATGGAGAAACATTTTTGGACTTACCGCTTCAGTAGTAATAGCAGCAGTGGTGATGGTAGTAGTAGTAATAGTAGTATAAGTAGTAGTAGTACAAGTAGTAGTAGTAGTAGTAGTAGTAGTAGTAGTAGTAGTAGTAGTAGTAGTAGTAGTAGTAGTAGTTGTTGTTGTTGTTGTTGTTGTAGTAATAGTAGTAGTAGTAGTTGTAGTAGTTGTAGTAGTAGTAGTAGTAGTAGTAGTAGTAGTAGTAGTAGTAGTAGTAGTAGTAGTAGTAGTAGTAGTAGTAGTAGTAGTAGTAGTAGTAGTAGTAGAAAGTAGTTGTTGTAATAGTAGTAGTGGTGATAGTAGTGGTAGAGGTGGTGGTGGTAGTAGTAGTAGTGGTAGTAGAAGAGGAGGAAGAAGAGAATACTGACTGATGATCACGGTAGCTTGAATGACAAACAACGGAACTAACCTCGAACACCGGAGAGGGAGATACAAAGTCACTGCATTGATGTCTGCGTCATCCAGTAATGACCAAGATGATTTCACAAGCCCCCCCCCCCCCCCCACTCAAACTCCTTTTCCCTCGTGTGGGGCTTAAAAAAAACCTTACACGGACAACGCGAACACTCCCTCTCCCACCCATCCCCCACACATACACACAATCAGTTATCTCACAGTGTCCCCACACACACACCCCCCCCCCCCCCCCCCCGCCCCCCCCCCCAATCCCGTACCCCCGCTTACACCCACACAGACATCATTGTTTGTCCCCATTCACAAACATCGCGCCAAATTTTCCCCTGTCTCAATTCCCCAAACACTGCGTGATCAATAATGGAACACCCGAACAACAAACAAACCTACAGGTGACGTGACCGGCGCAGCCACGACCCGGAAATAAAAAACGATTTGCCCCCACAATGCAGTTTCTCCTGGGGCTTCCTGTGTCAACTTTCGGCTCCTGAAATGTTATTTTTGTAATTACATCGGCTGGCCAGTAATCCATTTCTTGATTAGGGCAACATCGCCCATGTCTGAATTATGCAGCGATGTTCGTTATTTTGACAATGGGTTTCTTAATGAACCCGATCTTATAGCCCAATTATTCGTTTAGCATGGTCATCGCTGGTGGGGTTACGGGGACAGAGTGTCTGTCTATGACAAGCAGGAAGACTGAAGAGGTTAGAGGGATCGAGGTCTGCAGTGGGACTTCATGCTACTGGGTTGCAAGGCTTGTTCAATGTACACCGTGCCGCCCCTTCCTCCTCTTTCTCTTCCTCCTCCTCCTCCTTCTTCTTCTTCTTCTTCTTCTTCTTCTTCTTCTTCTTCTTCTTCTTCTTCTTCTTCTTCTTCTTCTTCTTCTTCTTCTTCTTCTTCTTCTTCTTCTTCTTCTTCTTCTTCTTCTTCTTCTTCTTCTTCTTCTTCTTCTTCTTCTTCTTCTTCTTCTTCTTCTTCTTCTTCTTCTTCTTCTTCTTCTTCTTCTTCTTCTTCTTCTTCTTCTTCTTCTTCTTCTTCTTCTTCTTCTTCTTCTTCTTCTTCTTCTTCTTCCTTTCTAACCTTTTCATTTTCTTCTTCTTCTTTTTTTTTCCCTTTATCTTCTTCTTCTTCTTTTTCTTCAGAATGTAGGATCCTTGCCTCTCGGTCGCATGCATTTGAACTTCGAAGAAATCCGTTTTAATTAGACGGCTCATACGACATGTTTGTTGGGGCAGTGGGTCTGTTCTGTCTCCCCTTACCCCTCTCCCCCCCCCCCCCCCCATGGGGCCTAAAACCGCCACGGGGATTTTTTTTTTTTTTTCATTTTCAGTGGGAAGGGGAGCAGACAAGAGTTTAATTACTGCTTTAAGAATCGACACATAGCGCACCGAGCATACTTATAGATGCTCTGTCTCCCGCAAAAATATGTCTTAGAATGTAGATGCTAACGGTAGCACACTTATACAAACGTGGTTCCCTAGCTCGCATACGTGCCTGTTTGATAGATGTGCTCTTAATTTCTAGTGCACGTGTTCTTACACATATTATTAAGTAAAGGTAAAAAGGTAAAGTCGGGAGATGTGAACCAGCGTCATTGCACACGGTTATAAACCATAAGTGCTCTGCCACCAGTACGGACAGCTAATAAGAAACTGTCCACCTGTGTCGCCGTCCGCACGCAACTCCGTAGCTACAGCTACGTTTCCCCATTACCCAGAGTGTTAACTCTGGTATCTATTACCTAGAGGTTGGGTGAACCCCGAGAAAACCGCCCAGTTGCGAACACCCGCCGTGGGCTGCAGCGTGTCGCAGCTGGATTTGAAAGCAGTCTCCTATCGACTACGCTAACGCGACCCTAAATTGTTATCAAGTGAGGCGAGAACAGCTAAATCGCACACTGGGCGATTAACACCTGATGACGTAATCAATGTTCAGTGTCCAAACTCAATTGAGAATCCCGGAGCTACCAATCCCAGAATCCCGGAGCTACCAATCCCAGAATCCCGTTCAATTGTTATGTTATTTTAGGACCTCTGACTACTGCGTTCCAAATTGTTACGGAACTCTCAATTGCATGTTATTTTATCTAACCGCTTGTCTTCTATGAATATTCATTCGTTCATTAACATCAGTGACCACCTGTTTTCTCTCCCCCCTCCCCTCCCCCCTCCCCCCTCCCCATTATGAGTGTTTCGGTAGAACACGCTTTCGTAGCTCTTTCTTTATCTCGCGCTTCTGCATAAATACCAGATCATGTTGTACGGTTTTATCTCACAGGCATTACCGTCAAATCTTGAGCTTCATGTTAAGCAAAAAATATATATATGTATATGTAAATTTTTTTTTTATCAAAGGGACAAAACCAATATAATTGTTATATTTTACACAGCTACTTCCCTTACCCACTAAAATCATGAAGTATACAGTTGGAAGTCTCGCTTTTAATCGGCGACCTGGTCGCCTATTGGTTCGCTGGTAGACGACTTCGTTGTCGGTCATGACAATATGTGGGTCTAATTCTTTCCTTTCATGATTATTTTCAGCAGAAACCAAACAAATGCATTTCTAATTATCTCAAACCTCCTTGTAGTCTTCTCTGTTATATCTAAAAGTCCTGAGATGTGAACCAGCCTGATCGCACGTGGTTATAAACCATAAGTGCTCTGCCACCAGTACGGACAGCTGATAAGAAACTGTCCGCCTGTGTCGCCGTCCGCACGTAACTCCGTAGCTACAGCTACGTTCCTCCTAGAGTGTCAACTCTGGTACCCATTTCATAGAGGCTAGGTGAATCCCGATATTTATCGTAGTTGATGCCTGGGCGGTATTCTGCTTCAATGACAGCTGGTTCAGTCAGGGCTATGTTTGCCTCTTTAAAAGCTTGAAGTACAAGCGAGGTCTTTATAGAAGGTTTTTCTGCATCATCATAGAAGAGGCAAGTAATTCCGCTCGGTAAGAATATCAAAGTCCGTGGCTTAGGCGTTGCGAGTCCGACTCGTAATTCCAACGTACCGCGATCAAAACCCAGTGCTGGCTGCGTGGATTTTTATCATGGTATGGGAAGTCGCAGGTTGACCCAGCCTAAAATTGGTACCAGGATGGATGCCCTGAGGATGTAAAGACGGCCGGTGTAATGCTGACCACATTACTCATCTAGTGCCCATTGGTCTCTAAAATATGGGTGCTCTTTCCATATGCCCGATGTGCCCAAAGCGTAAAAAGGCTTCTTTACTTTTTACTAACTTTAAGAACACCAAAGCTAGAATCTTCCCAGTAACAATGCTTGCATAATGATCCGTGCAGCTGTACAACTAATTTCGTATTGCCCGTTCATTAGTTGAAGCTGAAAGCACTTTCTCTTCACCAAAGTGTTGCCCATTCATTAGTTGAAGCTGAAAGCACTTTCTCTCCACCAAAGTGTTGCCCATTCATTAGTTGAAGCTGAAAGCACTTTCTCTCCATCAAAGAGTTGCCCATTTATTAGTTGAAGCTGAAAGCACTTTCTCTCCACCAAAGTGTTGCCCATTGATTAGTTGAAGCTGAAAGCACTTTCTGTCCACCAAAGTGTTGCCCATTCATTAGTTGAAGCTGAAAGCACTTTCTCTCCACCAAAGTGTTGCCCAGTCATTAGTTGAAGCTGAAAGCACTTTCTCTCCACCAAAGTGTTGCCCAGTCATTAGTTGAAGCTGAAAGCACTTTCTTTCCACCAAAGTGTTGCCCATTCATTAGTTGAAGCTGAAAGCACTTTCTCTCCACCAAAGTGTTGCCCATTTATTAGTTGAAGCTGAAAGCATTTTCTCTCCACCGAAGTGTTGCCCATTTATTAGTTGAAGCTGAAAGCATTTTCTCTCCACCGAAGTGTTGCCCATTCATTAGTTGAAGCTGAAAGCACTTTCTCTCTACCAAAGTGTTGTCCATTCATTAGTTGAAGCTGAAAGCACTTTCTCTCCACTAAAGTGTTGTCCATTCATTAGTTGAAGCTGAAAGCACTTTCTCTCCACCAAAGTATTGCCCATTCACTAGTTGAAGCTGAAAGCACTTTCTCTCCACCAAAGTGTTGCCCATTCATTAGTTGAAGCTGAAAGCACTTTTTTTCTCCACCAAAGTGTTGCCCATTCATTAGTTGAAGCTGAAAGCACTTTTTTCTCCACCAAAGTGTTGCCCATTCATTAGTTGAAGCTGAAAGCACTTTCTCTCCATCAAAGTATTGCCCATTCATTAGTTCAAGCTGAAAGCACTTTCTCTCCACCAAAGTGTTGCCCGTTCATTAGTTGAAGCTGAAAGCACTTTCTCTCCACCAAAGTGTTGAGCATAGGCTTCTGTTTGAGGATTTCTTTGACAAATCACCAGTTTGTGGTAATAATCCTTGCTGGGTGCCTGGTATGTCTGGCCGGTTCGCTTCTTTGCGACTGCCAGCTTCTTAACTCTTTCAATCTTAGATCATAGCCGATGCAATAAGCAATAAGGATGCCCATTAAAGCATGGGTATACTGCACCCAGAAGGTCCAGATAGACAATACATTGTAGGTGACGTACTGTTGGGTTAATGGTTTGCCTGACTCAACTTAGGATATACAAAGATACAAAACATGTTGACTGGTGCGTACGAGTATTATTCAGTAGACCGTGTGCGTTGTTTCGGACTAAAAGAGTTAAGATTTCTAGGATTTCTTTAATGAAACACTCGACTCGCGGCATAGTCTTTATATTGACGGTCAGTAAAATGTTTATTACTGGTACTCAGCTGTCTGCAGCAACCAAATATGTGTCTACTCAGCTGTCTGCAGCAACCAAATATGTGTCTACTCAGCTGTCTGCAGCAACCAAATATGTGTCTACTCAGCTGTCTGCAGCAACCAAATATGTGTCTGCTGAGCTACGACAACTGAATTTTATAACTGCACACAAACAGGAGCTGCTGCCGTTGCATGTTTGCCTCACGGCTGCAGATTCACAGTCATCACTTGGTTCTCGCAAACGTCTTACTTCTCCTTGAGCGTTCAGAATGTCTGCCTGGTCCACGGCTGCCCTCCACAGTAGCTTTACCTGCAAGCCTATCAGCTTACTCATTTCCTTTCACGCCTGTATGACTTAGCATGAAAACGAAACGATCTTTGTCAGTACCCACCGCCTCAGAAATAGCAACTACCGTTTTCGGATCTACCCCATCTCTATCTTAGTCATATTAGTCAAGTCTTAGTCTTAGTCATCTTAGTCAAGTCTTAGTCTTAGTCATCTTAGTCAAGTCTTAGTCTTAGTCATCTTAATCAAGACTTAGTGTTAGTCATCTTAGTCAAACCGTAGTCTTAGTCACCCTAGTCAAGTCTTGGTCATCTTAGTCAAGTCTTAGTCATTTTAGTCAAGCCTTAGTCTTAGTCATCTTAGTCAAGTCTTGGTCTTAGTAATCTTAGTCAAGTCTTAGTCATCTTAGTCGTCTTAGTCATCTTAGTCAAGCCTTAGTCTTGGTCATCTCAGTCAAGCCTCAGTCTTAGTCATCTTAGTCAAGTCTTAGTCTTAGTCATCTTAGTCAAGCCTTAGTCTTAGTCATCTTAGTCAAGTCTTAGTCATCTTAGTCAAGCCTTAGTCATCTTAGTAAAGTCTTAGTCTTAGTCATCTTAGTCAAGTCTTAGTAATCTTAGTCAAGCCTTAGTCTTAGTCATCTTAGTCAAGTCTTGGTCTTAGTCATCTTAGTCAAGTCTTAGTCATCTTAGTCAAGCCTTAGTCTTAGTCATCTTAGTCAAGTCTTAGTCTTAATCATCTTAGTCAAGTCTTAGTCTTAGTAATCTTAGTCAAGTCTTAGTCATCTTAGTCAATCCTTAGTCTTAGTCATCTGAGTCAAGTCTTGATCTTAGTCATCTTAGTCAAGTCTTAGTCATCTTAGTCAAGCCTTAGTCTTAGTCATCTTAGTCGTCTTAGTCTTAGTCATCTTAGTCAAGCCTTAGTCTTAGTCATCTTAGTCAAGCCTTAGTCTTAGTCATCTTAGTCAAGTCTTAGTCTTAGTCATCTTAGTCAAGCCTTAGTCTTAGTCAAGATTTCAACGTCTCTGCAATCGGTTTTCCCCATCCTACTCATTGAGTCGCCGAAAAAGCATTCAATTAGTTGCGTACCCTTTAAATGACATTGCAGAACAAACCCCAGCATTTATTGGCTGTTGTTATTTTTCTAGGTTCAGTAGTTTGCCATTGCTCCACTGAAAGGTCAGCTCTCGGTGCCACTGTCAAAACTAAAGCAAGACAAATCGTCCGCAGCAGGGATCGAACCCAGCAACCAGGTATTACGAAGCACGCTCGCAACACCTAAGCCACAGACTTCAATATAGAAAAAAAATATTCGCAGTTGAAGGTCTGTCTTCGGCCATGTCTGTCTTCGGCCATGTCTGTCTTCAGCCATGTCTGTCTTCAGCCATGTCTGTCTTCAGCCATGTCTGTCTTCAGCCATGTCTGTCTTCAGCCATGTCTGTCTTCAGCCATGTCTGTCTTCAGCCATGTCTGTCTTCAGCCATGTCTGTCTTCAGCCATGTCTGTCTTCAGCCATGTCTGTCTTCACTGCCAAGACTTGATTTGCTTTGCGGAGAAAAAAAATCGGCACTTTCAGCTGCTAAATACCAACCTTGGCTCACAGTATGTGGTAATGCTGACAGATGCTAAATCAATACTTGAAGCACTCCAGTCTAGGAAACTACCAGAATTGCAAACACTGCTGACACAACTCAGCGTTCAGCGAAGAGTCGTAATGCAGTGGATACCGTCTCATTTTGGAGTGCCTGGAAATGAGAAAGCTGATCAAATGGCAGGGGAAGGTGCGACAAAAGAGCAGCCGGATGTACCAGTCACATACCACCAAAAGAAAAGAATCATTAAATCGATCAGGAAACCACCAGCCCCAGCACAAGACGACTATTTTATTAAGGACAGACCAGAACAAGTCATTATCCTCCGCCTCAGAACAGGGCACAACCGATTACGTAACCACATGTACACAAAATTCAAGATAGGTGTATCAGCCATGTGTACCTGTGGAAACGTGCCCCAGACAGCAGAGCATGTACTCCAGATAAACGAAACAATGAATGAACGAACAAACGATTGCAGGAATGTATGAAATAATTAACTAATAAATTTGTGAATTAACGAACGATTCAATTAACGAATGAATGAATGAACGAACGAATGGTGGATTGAATTAATCAACTAACAAATTATTAAATGAACGAACGAACGAACAAATGAACAAACGAACGAATTATTGAAAAGCATTAATTTAAATCTCAATCACTGACATACAAACTACAACATCCATTATTTCCAAACTCGACAACTTTGTGCTGACTTCCCTAGAGCCGGGTAGTCCCCTGTAGATCACAGAGCCGCCCGTGTTATGTAATGGAGAATCTCAAGGCTGTTACAATCGATAATGTCTCTTGGCCAGGAAACTAGGACAGGCCACTGTAGCTGCTGTCTACCACATTAGTTGTGTTAGTTTTTCTGATATATAGTAACCAATGTCTGTTTCACTCCATTGAGGCGTAATGGCTGTAAAGCACCATCCCCGTGTTGTCTGTTACAGAATTTTAGACCGGCCTGCGTGCCCAATTTTTGACACTTTGAAAATGAAGGTTGTTCGTTCGTTCATTCGTAAATTTTTTTAAATTTTCGTTTTGTTGTTGTTGCTGTTGCTTAAGCAGTCGTCCATGTGTGGCCGGACCTAGTTTATGCGGTCAAGTCAATATGGCATATTTGTTTTTAGACCTGACTTCTCTTTGGGACTCTAGAGAACACTGACAACGTGCTAGTTTCATGCTGCCGCCGCTTCTGCTGCTACTTTTTCTTATTGTGTTTTCTCTTCTTCTTCTTCTTCTTCTTCTTCTTCTTCTTCTTCTTCTTCTTCTTCTTCTTCTTCTTCTTCTTCTTCTTCTTCTTCTTCTTCTTCTTCTTCTTCTTCTTCTTCTTCTTCTTCTTCTCCTCCTCCTCCTATTCCCCATCCTCCCTTTCCCCTTTTTCTCCACGCGATTGAATAGGTACATTGCGATTTTTTTGGAATTTCTTGCCCGAGATAGCCTTGTTAGGTTTCATACAGGAAATGTGTGTTTGTTCCTCGTGAAAGTAGTTGACAGTGGATTTTTCTGCCTGCCTGTCTGTCTGTCTCCCTTTCTGTCTTTCTATCTGTCTGTCCGTCTTTCTATCTATGTGTCTGTCTGACTCTCGCCTATCTGCCTGTGTGTGTGCGTGCCTGCCTGCCTACCTACCTGTCCCTCCCGAGAAGGAGAAATGGATTATAATTAGACAATCTTTCTAATGGTAAGGATTACCAGAAAACCCCGTTCAACCGTTTATGAAGTTATACCGAGACACCTCTGCAGGTACAAAGAAGGACATGTTATCCTCTGTTGTTAGGGGACATGACTCTCTTACATAGTACCAAGCAAGTTGTTGTTCTCACTATTAACTCCCCTGAACTTCAGCTGTGATTGATTTGTTGAGGGTTCGAAGTTCAGTGTGTGGCTGTGTGTTTGGTTATGTGTGTGTGTGTGTGTGTGTGTGTGTGTGTGTGTGTGTGACTGTGTGTTCAGTTGTATGTACCTGTGTGTTTAGTTGTGTGTGTGTGGCTGTGTGTTTGGCTGTGTATGTGTCGCTGTGTGGTTGGTTGTATTTGTGCCATATACAAATCGGAGTACATGAGAATGGCCCTACTTAAACATACCACAGCTGTGACATAAATTAGGAGTCTGAGCAGGCTAAAAGTACGCTCACGCACATCAACTAAACAGAATACAGGATCTAGACATAGTTAGCTTAAGGAACTCACAAAATGGCATATCTAAGCCCGTATAGTTGGCACAAATGGCATATCTTAGCCCGTACAGTTGGCACAGATGGCGAATCTTAGCCTGTACATTTGGCACAAATGGCATATCTTAGACCGTACAGTTGGCACAAATACCGTACATTTGGCACAAATAGCATATTTAAGCCCGCACAGTTGGCACAAATGGCATATCTAAGATCGTACAGTTGGCACAAATGGCATATCTTAGACCGTAAAGTTGGCACAAATAGCATATCTAAGCCGGTAAAGTTGGCACAAATGGCATATCTAAGCCCTACAGTTGGCACAAATAGCATATCTTAGACCATACAGTTGGCACAAATAGCATATCTTAGACCGTACAGTTGGCACAAATAGCATATCTTAGACCGTACAGTTGGCACAAATACCGTACAGTTGGCACAAATACCGTACATTTGGCACAAATACCGCACAGTTGGCACAAATACCGTACATTAGGCACAAATATCGTACATTTGGCACAAATACCGTACATTTGGCACAAATACCGTACAGTTGGCACAAATACCGTACATTAGGCACAAATACCGTACATTAGGCACAAATACCGCACAGTTGGCACAAATACCGTATATTTGGCACAAATAACATATTTAAGCCCGCACAGTTGGCACAAATGGCATATCTAAGCCCGTACAGTTGGCACAAATGGCATATCTTAGACCGTAAAGTTGGCACAAATGGCATATCTAAGCCCGTAAAGTTGGCACAAAGGGCATATCTAAGCCCTACAGTTGGCACAAATGACATATCTTAGACCGTACAGTTGGCACAAATACCGTATATTTGGCACAAATAACGTATATTTAGCACAAATACCGTACTGTTGGCACAAATACCGTACATTTGGCACAAATATCGTACAGTTGGCACAAATACCGTACATTTGGCACAAATAATCTAAGCCCGTACAGTTGGCACA